CTTTGTTTCTTGATTGTTTGAGCTTGAATTATCGCGTCTTTGGCCTATTTTATGCTAGGTTGTGTTCCTTTGTCACATTTCAGGTCCTAGCACATAAAGTGAAGCATAGGCGCAAGTTTCAAGTCAATCAGGGATCAATTGACGATTCGGGAGAAGAAACTCGGGTATGACCTGAAGAAGAATGGATTTCTACCTCACTTAATGGACAAAGAATCATGCAAGCTTGTCATGAAAAGAAAGAGGACGAGACTACGAGCGTCTGGGATCAAACGGCGACTGATTCGGAGTCCGGACGAGGGAGAAATGAAGCGTTAAACAGAGGCTGGGTAAGCCACACGGGCATCCTGGAACCCCGCACGGCCGTGCGAGTCGTGGCCGTGCGGAAATCACCAAGCCTTCGCACGGGCAACTGGGTGAGCTGCACGGCCATGCGGCCTGCCCGTGTGAGTCGGGAATTGCTGTTTAAAACCCGATTTTCAGCCAAAGGAAAAGGGAGAGCTGGGTTTTGGTTCCCAAACACCCAAGGGACGAACCCTAGGGAGAGAGAGCGACTTGGGAACATTCTTGGAGCTATTTTGGAGGATTTCTTCGCCATTGGAGCTCAGGAATCAAGCTTGGAGATGGAGATTGAAGATCTAGATCAGATTTCTGCAGTCTCTCTCTTCTCTATGGAGTAACTTCCCTTCACTTAGGTTTTCAGGAACCCTAGTTCCATGAGTTAGGATCTTTCTTGTATGAAGTTTTGGATGCTATATTGTTTGATTATAATCGATTGAGGCATGATTTATTGAGTCAATTGGATCTTGATCAAATTCTCTTGATTTCTGCTTTAACCTATGATAGATAGACCCTGATTAGGTTAAGAGAGCTTCCTTGATTGATAGTAGTGAATTGGTTGTGCGAGAGTCAATCAATTCACTGCTTTGTACTGGAATTCATTCCAGTAGTGGAGATCTGTGTGAATCGCCTTAGCAGTCTATCCCGGTGAAGGCTAGTCGCCTGTCGGGTATTCTGTCTGAGAGGGCTTGGTCAGCTTAAGAGATTCCAAGCTAATTTAGGATCTTCCGCAGTTTAATCAACAGTAGATCAACCAAAGGTAATTGCAACTTGGACCTAATTGAGGAGCTAGGGGGAATCATACCTAAGTGAGTTCCCAACTTGTAATTAGTAGAGTAGTCAGTAGAGTAGTTTATCAATCAATTCTTAATCTAGTTTGCTAGATAATGAACTGAGCTGAGTAATAGTAACTCTAGAGACCCGTGGATTCGATATTTATTACTTGTGCCACTATACTGCAGTCCCTTTCATTGGTTACACTTGGCCATTTTTAGGTGTTGTGTTTTAGCGAGTCAAGTTTTTGCGAGTCAATGGGGAACCTCAATGGAACTCAAATAACAAGAGCTCCGAGACACACGGATGACTCATAATGGTTTAGACACGTGTAGTTAGATCTCTGAAGTTGCTTCTGCGACAAGATTCCCCCCAGGTTGTTTTGTATTGAAACGAAACAACTTCGGGACGAGAATGAGAAGAGACATTTGGAGATGGGTTTCAAATTTTTGACGAGTTGGTCGTGCGATATATCGCGAGGAGGAAGATCTAGGGGAGTCTCGATGTGGTGGAAAGACGAGATAAGCTTTGTGGTAAGGAATGAGGATTTTCATTTTATTGATCTTAAAATTGAGGATAGGCGGGAGGAAATATGGAGGCTCACAAGTGGCCAAAGATTCGAGAGAAATATCAAACCTTGGAGTTGATCCATAGCCTGAAGGAGGAATGGAGCGGCCCCAGGCTGTGCGGGGTGATTTTAATCACATTATAACTGACGAAGAGAAAAAGTGGCAATCCGGGCTGTGAAGTGGAGATGGGGGCTTTTTTTGATTGTCTCTCAGAGGCGAGGTTACAAGATATGGGGTTCAGAGGTTACCCATACACTTACGAAAATCGACGAAGTGTGGAAGGCTATATCGAGGAAAGACTTGATTGTTTTATTGCAAATGCGGGGTGGCGAAGTGTGAGGCCACATGCACGTGTATCCCATCTAACATGCTGAGGTCGGACCAACGCCCCATTATTTGTGATACTCTGGGAGATGAAGATGAGGAAACTACATGGGGATGGTCCTTTCAGTTTGAGTCTCTCTTAGAAAATCACGAGGGATGTGCGGAGCAGGTGAAGGAAGCTTGGGAATCGTCCCCTGGTGATGCTGTTTCGAAGACGAGTTGAGTCCAATCAAAACTGAATCACTGGAGTCGGATTACCTTTCCAAATTTTTGAAGACAGAAGGAGAAAATAACGAGAGACTTGAAAGCTTTGGAAAGGCGTGAAAAGATGAAGTACGTGTTAGATCAAAGGCGAACACTACATCTGGAACTTGAGGAGCTTGAGTGCGATTGAAGAACCCTATTGGCAGCAAAGATCACAAATGAATGACCTGAAGATTCGAGATGAAACGAGAGCGTGGTGGAGAGGAACAGACAAAGCCCTGCAATGTTTTACTAATTATTTTTTTACTCTTTTTACGACAGGAGAGCGCTCGGAGATGACCCCAGTTTTGGAGTCGGTGGGACCCCGAGTAAAGGAGGATATGAATGATGGCCTTTTAATGTTGCTAACTAGAGAGGAGCTGCTCTGGGCTCTTCGGAAGATGGCAAAAGGCAAGCGCCGGGAGCAGATGGAATGTTTGTACTCTTCTTCTTCAAGTACTAGTATATAATCGGCGATGACGTTACGTAGATGTTGCTCGGGGTGGTAGAGAATGAAGTGATGCCTCAACACCTGAATCACACGCTACTAGCTTTAATTCAAAATGTGAAGGATCTGATAATGGAAAAAGAGTACAGACCTATCAGCCTGTGTAACGTGATGTACAAGATATTGTCGAAGGCTTTGGCGAACAGACTGAAAGTGGACTTAGACAAGATCATCTCACCGGAAACAGAGTGCTTTGTCCCTGGACGTTTTATTGCAGATAATGTTATGACAAATTTTGAGTGTTTTGAATATTATGAAGAAGAAGACCAAAAACAAAATGGGTTATTTGGCGGCCAAGAGGGATATGGCTAAGACTTATGATAGGATGGAGTGGTGGTTCTTGCAAGGTGTGATGAAGCGGTTGGGTTTCGCAGAAAGGTGGATACGAGTGATTATGTTGAGTGTTAGATCTGTGTCTTATGCGGTTCTGGTTAACGGGCATAGATCACAGACGTTTATTCCGAGCAGGGGATTAAGACAAGGAGACCCCCTGTCACCATATCTTTTTCTACTAGTTGCGGAGGGTTTATCATGCTATATGTCTCTCATAGTCAATCAGAAAAAGATCCATGGGATATCGGTGGCCAGAGGAGCCCCAATTATTTCACACCTCTTTTTTGCTGACGAATCTATCTTTTTTGGTAGAGCAACATAAAATGAGAGTAAAGAGTTGATAAGGGTGCTTGCAGATTATCAAAAGGAATCAGGCCAGCTGGTTAGTTTGGAAAAGTCGGATGTGACGTTTGGAGCTAATGTGAAGCCGCACTAGCGACTAGTGGTGATCTCTAGGGTTTATAGGGTTTATACCCCAACATCAATTTAATTAGAAACAATAATCGACGGTTATGATTCGTCCAAATATAGGCAAAAAAAAATCAATGCACCATTTAGGGTTTATAGTTTATGATTTAGATAATTAGGACCTAGGGTTTACTGATTAAGGGTTAGGGTATTGTATCATGCCCAAAAATCCTTCTAATTCGAGGTCTAGATAGCATTTTAATACTCAAGGTATGCGGTACCCCGGATTTCACCCGGGGTACCTTAGAAGGAACTTGTAATAGATTAATTTTTATATATCTAAATAGATTTCTTTCAGTGTATTATTTTCCTGGCGGATCGGGTATGGGTCAAGCTAGCATGCGAGTTTGTACTCCAGTCTTTTCAAAGGGGGTGGACTATTACCCGATCCGATGTGTTTGGGGAGAGTAATTTTTTAACCGATAGTTTGGCTATTAGGGGTCTCTCTATTTTGCTTGGTGTTCATTAGTACGACCCTGAGTTTAGATATTGGACTATGTATGACATTATGAATGGTTTTGAGCCTCGTTGTTTTAGTATTATTAGGTAATGGTAGGTTATTTTATGTCCTGCAATCCAAGCCACGAAAACTAGACATTGAATAATTTCAATATGATACTCAAAGATAAGGTTTAAGATAGGGAGTATAACCAGATATGAGCCCTTGCTTTTCGGTGGGCTAGATCTAAGAGGTTGAGATCTAAGGAGTTTTTTATTTTCACTACTTTTTTCATCAATTTTTATCCTCTTTGTTTTAATTTGGATTTTAAAAAATTTTGCACACCTAGAATGAGTCCACTTTGATCTACAAAATGATATTTATTTTCAATAATATTTTGAGAAAATTTTTCATAACACTCATACCACTCGTTACCACGTTGGTGTCATCTTCATTTTTTACTCAAATTTTGAAACATCTTGCTCAGAAAAATTAGTTCATCATGATCTATTGGATCTACAAATTTTCATGAAAAAACATTTCAGGACCAAATATATCACCTTGGTATATGGTGGTAATTGGTGGTAGATGGTGATAAAAGGTGATAAATCACAGTTAATAGATACATAGTATCATGTATACAACCATTATACACTAAGATATATTCACACCACCATGATACACTTTCATGCCACATGGTATAATCTTATGCACTATCCGACATTAGTACCATGATATGAATTGGTAATAAGCATCTCAATTTTTTATTCCAAAACATATATATAAATTGAATTTCATTTTCAGAAGTACTAATAAATGATGAATATAGGGTTATGATCATGCAGGGTATCCCTGATGCACACTTACCTAAACTAAACTCTCTATTACTGCATTACAACCCTACCTCTTTTTTAATTATTTTTATATATGAGGAATTTATAAGAAATCAAATGAGAAACATTAATTCACCGAGAAAGATATGTCACAAAAAAAAATCATACAAGCGGCCGGTGACTAGAAAAGAGCACCACCATAAAACCAAATCTTCACTCAGATTCATTCCCCAACCTAAGAAAGGATCCAAAATAAATGTGACATTGATCTTCCATCTAAAAGTTACAATAGTGGTCCGATTCATTGCTTGAACGGTAATTGATGGACCAAACGCTTTTCCATGGCTCAACATAAAACCAGATGAACAACCACGGTTTAACTAGTCCAGTGGCTCACTATTTTAACCACAAATTTTTTTAAAAAAAAATATTATAACATAAACTAAGACCATCAAACCGTAATTATTAATTTTACATATGCTTCCGCTTCTCATTTTCCAACCTTGTTGTCAACTTTACGTTATCCACTAACGATTGGCACTGTAATTTTAAATTTGAATTAAAAAAATTATGATTTCTTTTATGAGATAGTTTGAATGATTTAGTACATATTTTTGTGATGATATGAATTTGAAATTATTTATGGTCAATGATAACTTTATTCTTAAATTTGTGTAATATACAAGTCTATATCATGAACGATTCTATCAACAATTTTGTAACGATTAACCATTGAACCTTAAATCACTGATTTTTCCGAGGAGGGGATTAAGACAAGGAGACCCCCTGTCACCGTATCTTTTTCGACTAGTTGCAGAGGGTTTATCATGCTATATGTCTCTCATAGTCAATCAGAAAAAGATCCATGGGATATCGGTGGCCAGAGGAGCCCCAATTATTTCACACCTCTTTTTTGCTGACGAATCTATCTTTTTTGGTAGAGCAACATAAAATGAGAGTCAAGAGTTGAGAAGGGTGCTTGCAGATTATCAAAAGGAATCAGGCCAGCTGGTTAGTTTGGAAAAGTCGGATGTGATGTTTGGAGCTAATGTGAAGCCGCACTAGCGACTAGTGGTGATCTCTACTCTGGGAATGAAGGCGGTGGATAAACATGACAAGTACTTAGGTCTCGTTACGGAGGTTGGTCGATCCAAAAATGATCTTTTCATCTACCATAAGGACCGTGTTCGAAAGAAGCTGGCGGGTGGAAGGAGAGGTCGATGTCAGCTACAACGAGAGAATTTATAATAAAATCGGTTGCTCAAGCTTAACGGACTTACACTATGTCGATTTTTAAGGTTCCCGATAAAATACTTGATGAGATACATGGGTTAATTACCCGGTTCTGGTGGGGCAGAAAGGTGACAAGAGGAAAACTCCATGGGTGGCGAGGGAAGCGTTGATCTGTACAAAGGAGCAGGGTGAGATGGGTTTCAGAGACTTGAAGGGTTTTAATCAATCTTTACTGGTGAGACAGCTTTGGAACTTACGTTTGGAGAAGGTTAATAAGCGCTCAAGACTTCTTGGTGGAAGGTCTTAGGTGGAGAATTGGGAATGGGTCAACTTTTTGCATATGGTGGGATCGTTAGTTGCCCTCAACTCCGAACAACTTTATTGAGTCTCAGCCAATGGGTCTCCCGGTAGATTCGGTTAAACGTGAACTTATTTATGAAGAGGAGAAAAAGTGGGACGAGACTATTTTGGAGATTTGCTTCCCAGCTGATATGGTGGACGCTATTAAACAGATTCCACTATGTAATCCAGAAGAACAGGGCATAATGATATGGACAGATAGTGTCGATGGGCAGTATACGGCCAAGATTAGCTATAAGGTGTGGTTGAGGAAGTTCCATGAACAGCATGAACCCCGAAGTGGAGGGTACCCGGCTCTCTGGAAACTTCTCTGGTCGCTCACTTTGCCACCAAAAGTGAAGGTGTTTATGTGGAAGTTTACTAGAGAAGCTTTAGCTTCAGGAGAGCAGGTTTATAAGCGGAACCCGCAGCGTTGTGAAGCCAGCCCCTTTTGCGACCAATAGGAAACGCAGCTTCATGCGTTCTTTGATTGCTCTTGGGCAAACAGGATATGGCGGACTCGGCGGTGGCACAATGCTTTGAGCTACAGGGAGATCGAAAATGCATGGATTGGGTTTGCAAGGTTATAGAGATAGTTCCGGTGAGTGAATCGGAAGAGTGGATCATCTTATTATTGTCTTAATTTTAAATATCTAAAAAGTTCACTTATATAGAACGAAATAAAAAATTTAAAATAATTAATTTTCATAAGCAATCACTGTCTTTTATATTTTAAAATATTTGTAATAGAGGCGAGTTCTAGTGTACCCAGGGTGAAATTTGGGGTACCGCATACCTTGAGTAAGAAAATGCTATCCAAAACCTGAATTGACTAATATTTCGGACATAAAACTATTATCTAACCCTTAAAGATCAAAATCTAGGTCTTAATTCTCTAAATCTTATACCCCAACATCAATTTAATTAGAAACAATAATCGACGGTTATGATTCGTCCAAATATAGGCAAAAAAAAAATCAATGCACCATTTAGGGTTTATAGTTTATGATTTAGATAATTAGGACCTAGGGTTTACTCATTAAGGGTTAGGGTATTGTATCATGCCCAAAAATCCTTCTAATTCGAGGTCTAGATAGCGTTTTAATACTCAAGGTATGCGGTACCCGGGATTTCACCCGGGGTACCGTAGAAGGAACTTGTAATAGATTAATTTTTATATATCTAAATAGATTTCTTTCAGTGTATTATTTTCCTGGCGGATCGGGTATGGGTCAAGCTAGCATGCGAGTCTGTACTCTAGTCTTTTCAAAGGGGGTGGACTATTACCCGATCCGATGTGTTTGGGGAGAGTAATTTTTTAACCGATAGTTTGGCTATTAGGGGTCTCTCTATTTTGCTTGGTGTTCATTAGTACGACCCTGAGTTTAGATTGGACTATGTATGACATTATGAATGATTTTGAGCCTCGTTGTATTAGTATTATTAGGTAATGGGTGGTTATTTTATGTCCTGCAATCCAAGCCACGAAAACTAGACATTGAATAATTTCAATATGATACTCAAAGATAAGGTCTAAGATAGGGAGTATAACCAGATATGGGCCCTTGCTTTTCGGTGGGCTAGATCTAAGAGGTTGAGATCTAAGGAGTTTTTTATTTTCACTACTTTTTTCATCAATTTTTATCCTCTTTGTTTTAATTTGGATTTTAAAAATTTTTGCACACCTAGAATGAGTCCACTTTGATCTACAAAATGATATTTATTTTCAATAATATTTTGAGAAAATTTTTCATAACACTCATACCACTCGTTACCACGTTGGTGTCATCTTCATTTTTTACTCAAATTTTGAAACATCTTGCTCAGAAAAATTAGTTCATCATGATCTATTGGATCTACAAATTTTCATGAAAAAACATTTCAGGACCAAATATATCACCTTGGTATATGGTGGTAATTGGTGGTAGATGGTGATAAAAGGTGATAAATCACAGTTAATAGATACATAGTATCATGTATACAACCATTATACACTAAGATATATTCACACCACCATGATACACTTTCATGCCACATGGTATAATCTTATGCACTATCCGACATTAGTACCATGGTATGAATTGGTAATAAGCATCTCAATTTTTTATTCCAAAACATATATATAAATTGATTGTCATTTTCAGAAGTACTAATAAATGATGAATATAGGGTTATGATCATGCAGGGTATCCCTGATGCACACTTACCTAAACTAAACTCTCTATTACTGTATTACAACCCTACCTCTTTTTTAATTATTTTTATAAATGAGGAATTTATAAGAAATCAAATGAGAAACATTAATTCGCCGATAAAGATATGTCACAAAAAAAATCATACAAGCGGCCGGTGACTAGAAAAGAGCACCACCATAAAACCAAATCTTCACTCAGATTCATTCCCCAACCTAAGAAAGGATCCAAAATAAATGTGACATTGATCTTCCATCTAACAGTTACAATAGTGGTCCGATTGATCATTGCTTGAACGGTTATTGATGGACCAAACGCTTTTCCATGGCTCAACATAAAATCAGATGAACAACCACAGTTTAACTAGTCCAGTGGCTCACTATTTTAACCACAATTTTTTTTAAAAAAAATATTATAACATAAACTAAGACCATCAAACCGTAATTATTAATTTTACATATGCTTCCGCTTCTCATTTTCCAACCTTGTTGTCAACTTTACGTTATCCACTAACGATTGGCACTGTAATTTTAAATTTGAATTAAAAAAATTATGATTTCTTTTATGAGATAGTTTGAATGATTTAGTACATATTTTTGTGATGATATGAATTTGAAATTATTTATGGTCAATGATAACTTTATTCTTAAATTTGTATAGTATACAAGTCTATATCATGAACGATTCTATCAACAATTTTATAACGATTAACCATTGAACCTTAAATCACTGATTTTTCCGGTTCAGCCTCCCGTCTAGTTATGAAAACCGAGAAAAAACCTTCATCAGCCTATTCACTTATCTAAAAATGAATACTTCACGAAAAACATATATATGAGAATGAGACTCCTTTTAGTAGGGTCCGGCTTTCCAGAACTTCGATGATGATGATATCACTGGTCCAACGCGGCCCAGAAAACATGCCGACCAAACGAGTCCCTCTGTACGTATAACACAACCAAGAAACAAAAAACCGCAAAATAACGAAGAAAAGAAGGGAAACAAACAAGAACGAACAAGAGGAAAGAACGAAGACCTGAGGCTAGCTCACTCCCGTCTTGCCTTTGTCCATGTTTTTTTTTTTTTTGCCGTCAGGTAAATATATAGATACAGTACAGTAGGTGCAACCAAAAGCAAGTATAAGCGCTGCCAATTAATTGATGACTGAAGAGGAAATTGCGGTGAAAACAAAGGGTCAAACTCAATACACCCTTGTATTGCAAAACCCTAACACGGTGAACAGAAAGGCGAATATATTTTTGGATCCAAAAAGTAAAACTAGCTAAAGACTGACCGACCGGCCAGAACGATCGATCGCGAGAGGAATCTCTTATTGGAAGCTTCTTTTATTAAGCCCTATACCAACTGGCCAGTCCGGAAACCCACATAACTTTCACCACTACAAATGAGGAATCCCATACCGTACAAACACACCGTGGCGAAGTCAGAATTTTGAGAGGGAAGGGACTAAAAACTAGTTCGCCGCAACAACTTCCCACGATTGAATCCTACCATTTTATAATGGTTTCTCAAGATATGAATAAACACATTATCAAAATTCGAAGGAGGACCGAGGTCTTCTACACTGCACGTAGTGCCACCACTAATACGATACTCAATACATATCAGGTCATGAAGAAACTGTTGACTACCAATTTTTTTTTTCCTTCATAAGTATATTAATGTTAAAAAAAATTCCAAAGACTAATGTACATGAAAAGTTGAAAGAATAAAATTATTGATGGAGTTGGGAAGTTGGAATCAAAGATTAATTCTATAGGCAGCGTCATGCTGGAATCATGAGTAGATAGCAATAGCATAGCCAATCCAATCCAATCCACAGGGAAAGAGCTATTAATAATTAGCTATGAAATAAGCAGAAGCACACGTACAAGAGTAATAGGTCAACAGTCTAGCAAATTAGCAATCAACGAATGATGGTCACCGATTAGGACGTTATACTGACAATCCGGTCAATGCTTATCTCACTTTTTCCTCGGTTCAACATATTGAAACAAAAAAAAAATTACTCGCTATATATAGAGTATAAATAAATATAGACTAGATTCACATAGCAATTATATATGGTTGAAAATTAAGCACTAAAAAATATAATAATATTGACCGCGCGCATTATACATTTTTCCTAACCCGTAGGCCGTAACCACTGACCGGCGCGGCAGCAGCAGGCATTATCTGCTTAATTCCTTCCACAAAAAACTGATAGATGCCTCCTCAATTTCTGCGCGAAAAGACAGACAGACACAACCTGAAAGCTTATCGACTCACACCAATTAGAGTCATTTCAGCACTTATTACTATTTAATTAACTTGGTATTTATATAACTCCAACGCCCCCCCGGAAGCTAGCTAACAAACAGCTGAAAAGGCAGTACGGCAGTCGGCAGATGGGGTTCTTAATCTTTAACCAGACCCATCGGAAAATAATTAAGCAGCAAAATTAAGGGTTGATTATACGTATACCTGAGCTTGGGAATTGAGCATCGCCGGCGGCTCCCAAACTGCTAATAATTAACGCGAGCTGGAGGGTGCAGTGTTTTCATGATGGGGAAGATGGGCACATGAACCACTAACTCAGTGGTGGGTTCTGGTAATCGATTCATGGGGTTGGTGGGTGAATGAGTTAGTAATGCACGTGCCCTGCTTCTCCATCCTGCTCACACGCACCTATATACTTAATTTCACCCAACAACAACAAAACAAAACTTTGAAGAAAGAAACGGGGAGCTCTGGATTAGAGGTTAGAATCAGTGGAATTGGAACGAGAAAGGGGAAAGTTGAGAGGCAGCAGAGGCAGTTGTTTCCTTTGGCTAAAAAATGGTGGGAGAAGGGAAGAGAAGGGAAGGAGGCATCTATCTGGCACTTGATGTAGTCAGAGGGAGGGGGTGGGCACTCATTTATAACAAATCCGGCAAATGGAAGTGTGTGTCCCCCCTCTCTCTCTCTCTCTCTCTCTCTCTCTCTCTCTCTCTCTCTCTCTCTCTCTCTCTCTCTCTCTCTCTCTCTCTCTCTCTCTCTCTCTCTCTCTCTCTCTCTCTCTCTCTATATATATATATATGCGAGCGTGTGTATTTAATTAAAATTTAAAAAGGCAAAATTGAGAGGACTGAGGAGCTAGTTTAGCTGTATAATCCTTTATAATTATTACATCAAGTTTTTGGGTGTGTTTGTGAGAAATTGTACCGATGGTTGTCAATGAAGTTTTTTTATTTAAGGCTAAATCGGTAGATGATTTTTATATGTAAAAAACAATTAAATCACGCTTAAATCACAATTTCATAAAAAATATCTTAACACCGATTTTTTCGATAGAACTTCTGGTACTATTTTACAATTCTTTGTGTTGAGTGGCATTCGATTTAATGGATGAGATTTAGAAAAAGATCAAATTTTTAATTGATCTGTATTTTCTTTGTTTTAACACGAATTTTGAATTTCATGTATAGATAAAATGAGTTCATTGTGATCTACAAAATAATATTTATTTTCTTATAAATTTTGAGACAACAAATTGCGTTCCACTTTTGTATCACCTTGTACCACTCTCTGCCACCTTCATTTTTATTTAAAATTTTGAATTTTTGTCACAGAAGCAACGGATTCAACATGTTCTACAAATTTTTCGACAAAATTTTTAGATCCAAATGTATCACCCTATATCATCTTGGCATAAAGTGGTAGATGATGGTGAAACCTAATAGGACGGTGTTTAATATATTTCTACTATCATATAAAACTATTATACACTATCATATATTTTATACTACCATAATATACTTTCATACACCATGTGATAATTTTATGTAGGGCAAAACATTACCATCATGGTCCATGCATGATATAGAGTTCTAACCTATGCATCAAACTTTTTGTATTCTTAAATATATATAAATAAAATTTATTTGAAGGGAAGGATTGATCAGAATTTTCTACAATTATATATAAAATCATTCTACATTATGATATATCTATATTATCGTAGCCTACTGTCAAACTCCTGTGTTATAATTTTATTTAATGCCAAATATTGGTATAATATATGCGTTAAATATTTTTATTTCAAAATATATCGAAATAAATGTCATTTTAAATATCCGACTTTTATATAAAATAAAATAAATTTCAAAACAAAACGAAAGAGGCGTTACCAGCAAGGCAAGAAATAAAAAGTTAGAGTTGACTGGGCCCCAACTCCCGATTAATTAAAACAGGATTGGCTGATGCTATTGCATGCTCCAGAGTCCAGCCATAGTGCCCCGCCCGTGCCTCTCTCCAGTTTCCAGCCCATATCAAAATGAACCACAAACCAAACCAGTATATGTAAGCTAGCAGCTCCCTCGGGTTTACCGTCGAGGAACGAAATTGCCCGCATTTTAATTAGAACAAGAAGGAGAGAAATAAGCTCGATCGAAGAGGAATCTCGCTCCTCGTCTCGCCACCGTCTCCTCCCTAAGTAAACTATGAAATGCATCTCGCTTTGTGGCTCCATACCATCACTCTGTCCACGAGTAAAATCAGTCACGCGAATATTTCGTAACTAAAATAAATAAATTTAACCTGCCTACCCTTTATCCGATATGCCCTGCGCACACCCTGAATTTAAACTCTAACCAATATTACGGGGAAAAAAATTCACTAAACCTCAACAAATGTGTAAGGTTGGAACTTGGAACACCAGGCCGTTAACTGGCTGTCACAATAAGTTAAGTTGCTTGTTTGAAAAAACTTTAATTTGCTCAACAATAATTAATGCTCCATTGTGGCGTACACTTGTCGAAGCTTGATTACCTAGTTTCTTCGGCTTAATGCCGGTACATATATGTACACTAGCTAGCTAGCTTTTATCTCTCCATAAATGGAGGGTTGCCACTTGGGTTGTAACCAAACTTGCACAGAAAAAAATAACCTCTAATTAAGCAAGGCATATCTGGCGTGATTTACTTTGCTATGCACATCGCCAAACAATTAATTAATGATGCAGTTGCAAAGTGCGCTTTAATACCAGTAGTACGTACAAAACAATTAACGCCGGTTTATTTTTGTGCCCTTACGTGAAAGGCACTTAGGTCCATACAGGTGTAGTTTTTGCACCTCGTTTTTGGAATCGCCAACATTTAATTACAATTTAATTAATTCATTAGGTCATCCAGCTTCCATCTTAATTATCTACTCGAATCCTTACGAGAAATACAAAGTTATAACCGATGGAAGGTGGGGGAAATGCCGTAGTGGCGGAGCCAGGAATCTAAATGAGTGAGGCTACAAATCTATGCTCGGAGAAATCAAACTGAAGGGGCTGCTAAAGCCTTACCAATTACTATATTCTCAATAATTTTATGTAATTTTACGAGTTGAGAAGGTTATAACCTTTCCGGACTTGAGGTGGCTCCGCCACTGGAAAAAGGTGAAGGGTATATCTCCCCCTATCTACCTATATTGGTGTGTACGTATGTATTAGTATTATGTGTGTGAAAGAGACGTTGCTTTCACGATTGTTAAAGAGGGTAGGTAGTTCATATTTAAGCAGGGCCTGGGGAGTGGCCAGTGTGAGTAGTACACT